GATGCCCACCAAGTGACTCTGGATGTCAACACTGTCCATCCGAACCTTCACCTCTCAGAGGGAAACAGAACGGCAACAATGAAAAGTGAACCTAAAAACTACCCTGAACACCCAGATCGGTTTGACCACTGGCAGCAGGTGGGGATTTACATTTTCAGCAATGTTTATTCTTTATTTTCCTCTACATTTTTCATCATCTTTGGTCCTTTTATTATCCCTGACCTTTAGGTTTTGTGCAGAGAAAGTGTGTATGGGTCTCGTTGTTACTGGGAAGTGGATTGGCGGGGAACGGAAATCGACGTGGCTGTTACGTACAAGGGAATCCGTAGAAAAGGAAACGGCAATGACTGCAGCCTGGGATGGAACGACAAGTCCTGGAGTTTGTACTGCTCTGAGTCCAAGTTCACTTTTGTGCACAACAACAAAAGCAAAGACCTCTCCGTCCCTGTGACACACCGTATCGGTGTCTACTTGGACCACGGAAAAGGAATACTGGCATTTTACAGTGTCTCTGATGGCATGCGGCTCCTGCACAAAATTCAGACTTTATTTACAGAGCCCCTGTACCCTGCTTTTAGTGTGTGGGGCTTTGGCTCTACTATAAGGCTGTAGGAGAGGAGCCAGATGACCAGCTTTTTTTACAAGCAAACTATACTCGATATTCATGTAAGGAAGCTGGAATAGATTTCAGTTTCTGTTTGATTTATTTTGTTACTTAATCATGAATAGAAGATCGTAACAAATTTTACCATATATATATATATTTTTTAATATTTTGTCTGTATGTTTGAAAAGACATTGTAAAACTAGTTAATGTTCAGTTACATTGGTGTGTTTTTTCCTATAGCTTAAGCTTTGATAAAGTAGGAGGAATTAATTCATAGATTCATGCCTGACTCTTTAAATCCAGTTATGCAGCACAGTGATATAGTACACTCATTTCTTGTTTCCTTCTTTTTTTGTTATCTCACTCAAACTTCTTTTTATAACATTTGCTGTATTTTTAAATTCTTCAAGTCTTCTTTAAATAAAACTATGAGGGGCGATTTTTTTTTTTTTAAGATACTGATGTTTGTTTTGCCTTTATTTGTTAAAATAGAAACAAATGTACATCCCCTTCCTGGACTAAAATGTGAACAAGTAAATAAAGAAAATCATCGCATTTCAGTTATTGTTGCACTTTTTTGGCTTGTTAAGAATTTAAAAAAGTACTAATATTAGAAATTATGTTAATGACCCTTTCACACAAAACATTAACATTTAAATAACATTTTCCTGTAGACTTAGACAAACTTTATTGTTGTTTTTGTATACACAGAGTCTACACAAACTGAAATTTTGATGCATACTTTTCAACAGTGAATGAGCAGCTTAGAAGTGAAATGAACACTTCCAGGATTGATCAAAATGTAAACGGTATGGGAGAGACATGGTGCAAAAGGCATTGATGCGGAAGGTTCAGAGCAATGCAAAATAAAAGTAAATATGGTGTAAAATGCAGTAGAACATTGAGTTGAATTCTATTTAAAGGGATTTGAAAATTTGCCATGTAGGAACATATGATGTTTACACGTGTGATGCAGAGTCTCAATTTGTGACTTGATTGAGTTTTCAAAATTTTAACAGTCTTATGGCAGTGGGGAAAAATATGTTGCAGAACCTGCTGGTTCTGCATCAAATACTGCAAAGTCTCTTCCCAGAGGGCAGCAGGGAGAACGTCCATGGTAGGGGTGTGAGGGGTCATTGATGATGTTACTGGCTTAGGACACGCAACACTGGGATTAAGTGTCTTATGGAGGAAAGAAGAGCCCAGATGATCCTCTCTGCTGTTCTCACCACTCTTCTCTCACTCTTCCAGTCTGCGGTGCTGTAGCCTCCCCATCACACAGTGAGACAGCTGATCAGAACGATCTCGATGGTGCTTCTATAGAAGGTGGTGAGGATGGGTGGGGGCAAATGGGCTCTCCTCGTCCTCTGCAGGAAGTACATGCGCTTCTGTACCCTTTTGACAAGTGAGGTGGTGTTTACATTCCAGGTCAGTTTGTGATGTGCACCCCCAGGAATTTGGTGCTGCTGACCACCTCTACAGCCGAGCTGTTGATGAGCAGTGGAGCATGGTTAGGCCGGTTCTTCCTGAAGTCCAAGATGATCTCCTTCATCTTCTCCAGGATCTTCAGGATCAGGCTGTTATCTCTGCACCATCCTACCAGCTGCTCCACCTCCTCTCTGTAGTCCTGGTCGACTCTGACTGACTAAGTTGACTGACTGTAAATATTGTATATATTAAAGCACTATCATTCAGTTGAAATCAGATAATTGCATAATCTATTG